GCGACCGTCGATGCCTGATTCTGCGCCAGAGGAATACAAGAAACTTGCTGAGAAATGTTGTGATGCTGATCCTGATAAGCGTCCTGATGCACGGAAACTTTTCTGGGAAATGTGCGATATTATCGAAGATGCGAGCAAGGATAAATCTAGTGACAACATGTGGAATTCTATCTATTATAATAATGTAAAGCCATTATCACGTCTCGAGAAGGAGAGTAAATATTCTAGTGTGCTCTTACCTACTGGAGATTTGCCTAAACCAAGAAATAGTTATGATTCAGATTCAGCTGCAGGTATGAAGACAATAATTGGTTATTAATGAGTCAGTCTACAATATTAATATCATCCCCACTGCTTATAATTTAGTGACTCAACCGCTCTTTGAATAAATTTGTAATTTACGGGTTTATTTTTTTTTCAATAAATAAATTAGTTATCATTATGGGTTGAGTCAAAAATAAAACTGCATGTTTACTGTTAGGTTATTCAACAGGGCCAGCGGAATATTGGATTATTTTGCTTAGAACATTGTAAGTGAGCAATGGGAGGAGTTATTTTTGAACCAAATAAAGTTACAACTGTTTATTATTATCCGCTTTTTATAACATTGTCTTTGCAAAAAAGGAAAATGGACTTACAAAGTTATTAATTTAGATGTCAGTTTGTATAATACAATTAAAATCCATGATGAAAGTTATTGTCACGCGAATTGTCTAATCTAAATCATTATCATAGGGTAGTTTATAACTGTAACGTGTTTACAAATATTTCCATCAGAGAAATAAATCCCGTTCTTAAGAATGAGTAATGGGTTGAAACCAATTAAAAAACGTTCACAGCAGGCCATCCACCGTGCGCCTTGACTGGCGACTTTTCGCAAGCTATGGCCACGATGTGCTTTCAATTCAATGGTTAAGTATTTTATTCACCACACAACTGGTGGCGGCCATGTACACCAGCTGGTTTGGTAACTGAACTGAACGTTCACCAATACTTCCTCAGTATCTACATTATCACCACATCGTGACTTAAATATATCCTATTCAACCTTCAGCAAAACTCCAAGAACATGCCTAGTACTTGTAGTGGGTTAGACCGCAGCCATCTCGACAATTAGCATAATCCAATGAAGACAACCCGTTGTGCAGCGTAACTTCAGATATACTGGGGCGGGCGGTTGAAAAGTTTTGATTGTCTAATTTTATTCAAAAAGGAAATTTTGCAAAAAAGTTAAGCCATAAGTGTGAGTTTGGAGCTTTTTCTGAAAAAAAAAAAAAAAAAAAAAAAAAAAAAAAAAAAAAAAACACTATTGCAATTACTTTGCTAGTTTGTGAGAAAAGTAATTTCAAAAACCTGATATCAAAACCAATGATTTCAATTGCCTGCAGCAATTATAGATCCTTCATTCTTACCTGGAAGAACAAGATGGAGGCCAAGGAAATTCACCAACTTTTGTCACATGCATGGGGTAGTGATGCACCTTCAATTGTAACAATAGACAGTGGATTGATAAATTTAAAAGTGGGGGGAAAAAACCACATTTAGGATGGCCTAATAAAGCTGTCAGTCAAAAAATATGGATCTAATTGCAGAAGCTATCAATAAAAAACCTCATATATAACAGATAATATAGCAACAAGAGAATTAGAAAAAAATGTAGGCATTATAATTAGCCATGGGAGGGCAATAAACATTATTCATAAGCATTTAGGTTTCGAAAGTAATAGCTAAATGGATACCAGTGAAAAATGGCGTGGTTTACAATCATAATAATAATGCACCACCACATACGCATCAATTAGTCAAAAGGTGTTACAATAAAACTGCTCCCTCACCCTCCTTATAGTCTAGATTTGTCCCCCTGCAACTTTTTCCTTATTTCCAAGACTAAAAAAAAAACTTGCTGGAAGGAGTTATAATGATGTAAATAGTCTTCTTGCACGTGGCGTTCAAGCAGTGGTTGACAGCATCCCAAAAGACGATTATTACAAATCTATTGAGGTTTGGAAGAGGCGGCTGAAAATTTGCATAGACGTTCAAGAAGACTATTTCGAAGGACTTGTGTAAATTATTATGTACAAATAATAGACGGTCAAAACTTTTCAACCGCCCCACGTATATACATCAAGTGTGTCTTATATGATACACAAATACTACGACTACTGTGGCCACGATGCGCTTTCGATTCAGATATTTCTCACCCAGTGGCAGCGTAACTTCGGATACAATAACCACTTAACAAGTACTCAGTGAAAATTTCTCATCTTGTTTAAAGGGCACTCAAGAAATTCCAACGCTACCTCAGAGGACGGTAAAATCCAGAGTATCCGCAAGAATTATTTTAAAGAGGGGTGAAAAATTTGATTGGCGATCGAGGAGGGAAATGTTAAAGAGGTTGGTTGTGAGTTATCCAAACCGTCGCATGTGTCGTAATACGGAATGACGGTGAAAGCTGATAACGCTGTAGTTGCGCGTTGGAGGAGAGGGGAGGTTTATTGGTAGCGATACAATATATGTACAATGAGTTTGAGTATATGGTCGATAAAATCCGCGTCGTCGTCGTTGTTGCGTCAAGGTTTGGTCGGTCGTATGTACATAATATGGAATTGTTCGATGGGTTGTTCGTTTATATTTTAGATAACATTGTATTTTGGGGAAGGAGAACGGGTTATTATTATGCGTGTTATATATTGACAGTTGCAACCTTATGAATTTCGCCTAGTGTAGTGTAATATCATACATAATATCGCGATTGTTTCTCATATGTAATAATAAATTATTTGGTTAATACCTTAATAAGTATGCATATTTTACAATACGAATTATTGTGTAATCGGTTGTTTCAAGTAAAAACCAATTTAAGACCATTAAACACCAGATATTGACACAAATGAAGCTTTATTGTTATCAATACATTACAAATTTGTATATCCGTAAGACAATTTATACAAATCGCAAAAACGTTGAATTGCTTATGTCGTTTTGGTTTTTTTGTTTCAAAATTTCATAATGACAACTGGACAGCTTCTTTCCCAGAGCGAATGAAACTCTTTAATTTCAGAAACACATGTGATGATCGTGTTACGAAAAGTCTATCGACATAGCATATGAATAGTTTGTAGCAAACGTTCAAAAATAATATCTATATTTACACTATAAGAACAATTATTCCACTACACCACACAAACTAAAGACCGAAGAATTATTTCCGGTGTGTGTGATTAAATAATATTTGTAATATATTATTTACCTGCATCACTTTCACTTAACTATTATAAATACACGCAATACGTGAAGCCGAAGAAACGATGTCTTTTATTATTCTCATTCTAGTTTTAGTAATAAAAGTATGAACGCGCAAAAATGTTTTTGCTTGGAAACTAAATGCTATTTCAAGAATTGCAGACAAAAACACGGAAATTTTTCCTCAATTTGCGCAGACCTCCAAAAACGAAAGAAAATAAAGCTATTTGTACTATGTTATAACAGTAAATTCACGTTGTTATTGGTCACTGTTTCTTCTTTGTCTCTTTGATATGGTATGGGCCATTATTATTCTCATTTTTTGCATGTCTAACCTCTTGGTGGCACGGTTTGGGTGCTAAATTTATCAAACAGTATGAAGAGTTTGGATACAAAGTTGAGGTTGTGGTGATCTGTTGCAAATGTTACTACGCTTGTGGTCAGGAAAGGTACAGTATGTGCCCACAATAACAAATTTGTAGCCCAAATCATCAACTTCTCATATAGTCAGAGTAAAGGAAAAATTACACCCAAGTAGTATGATAGATTTAATAGTTGGTTTGGTTACTTTCTCACACAAGTTTGGTAAATACGGTTGCACTATGAAGTGAATTAGCTACCATTTATTATGGTCGACTTATTGCAAACAGATTAGCGGGACGCCCAAAGTGTTAGAGGGGGACTCGTCTTAATAATATAGCAGGAGCAATGGCTTATATTCTTAATATTTCAAAGAACAGATGAAGCTAAACGTTATGTCAAGTCCTAAATACAGTGTGAATACTCTTATAATATATACGAATCTCGTTTTAAAAATAATTGTTAATCAAGTATCATCTGTCATTCAGAACTTTTCAATGCTATTGAATAAAATATACATCATACACTGTATTCATATGCGTAATAATGTGCATTAAAGATTACAAATACTTGCATGTCGGCAAAATCCCACATCTGATCTGAGAGCGTGCCGTATGCTTGATCAAGTTTCCTACACTCGTCGGTAGTCGTGAATAGTTGCACACACTCATAATCTCAATCCAGTTCCTACGTTTGATTGAACGTTTGCTTATTATTATCGAATCTACTACTTGATCATACGTTTTATTCACGCATTAGATAATTCACATACTTGCCCAAATCCAGCGTAGTATACATTTAACGAGTACGTAGTTCCAATGTAGACTGAGCACTTCTAATGTGGACGGCGTAAACGTTACACCTTTGAGTCTTTAAATAAAGAGCCGATCAAAAAGTGCTTAATTAAACGTAAATAACGCACGCGTTATTCAGCAATTACACAGTTTTCGTAATGACACGTCATTCTCAATTGTTGCCAGAAGATCTCAATATCTCCATAATTCTTTGGTCCAGACACTCGAAAAAATGGACACATTATAACGGTTTCACCATAAAACAAATTGGTCCACTTGCCTTATGTAAAAGGGCCAATGTAGGTGTTTCATATTGACCCCCTACCGTAGACATAGCAGAACTTGCACTAGGGGGCGTCCCACATTTTGCTAACAACCGCGTGGTACTCTTCTGACGTCTTCCGTTTTATCTTCTACGAGTGAATTAAACAGTGCTTGAGCAAGAATATATCGTCTTGCTTTTTCCGGCGCTGACAATATCTCATGGGAAATGTGTAATAATGACACAGTACCATGTGGCGCTCATGTGATTTATCAAACCTTATCTTTGATCTTCATCTCTACATAACAATCAATCCGTATTTATATCCTGGAAATCAAATAATGGTCGAGTGGACAGGAAAGGCAGAGACCAAGATGGTAAAGACGTGAATTACCTTACTTTTTACTTTGAAATAGTATAAGATTCGATGCTTAACCACAACTTGTTTTTCATGAGCTTGATTAGGTCTGCATGGAGCGTGGGTAATAAATTGTGAGCGGATGGCTCAACAAAACACCAGCCGTTTACTTGATTGGGTAATTATAAGATTAACTATATATATAGTAATAAGAATGAGGGGTTGATGCAATTGTAACAATATGTTCTGTTCGTCTTGTGTTGGTGTGAAGTTTATCGTTATGTAACGAATGGCATTCTCAATTCCGCCCAATCATTTTACCTGTAATGCTGCGGAATTATATTACGTTACACGCATTCCCTTTAAAGATGACAATGTTGAGCGATTTCCGATTGCCATAACCGCAGGATAATGATTAGATAAGTATAAGAACTATGTCATCATTCCAAATTATTCATAACCAGACTAGCATACACGGTCATTTTCAAGTGGGAGCAAAAACCCTAGGATAACGTTTACGAATTATAACGTCTAAGAAATGGGCAAAAAGAAAACCAAAGCTCCAAATGCACAGGGTTCAAGGCAAGGGTCCGGCTCTTCCACTCCGCAACAACAGCGTCAACAGCAGCAACAACAGCGACAACGACAACAGCAACATCAACAGCTGCAACAGCAACAGCTGCAACAACAACAGCTGCAACAACAGCAACAGCAGCAACAGCAGCAACAATTACTGCTGCTGCGACAACGACAAAGACTAACACTCACAAGAGAAGAGCGTCAAGCCAGGAAAAGCGAAGGCTTTAGGAATTATCAGAACCAGCTCATTGAAAATTTTCAGTCATCTGTTCTTGCTAGTGGCGGTAGTGATTCGCTTGTGTTTTTCCCCCCAGAATTTAATGTCTCTGACAGAGTATGGCCATATCTGCTCAGGAAGGAGGAAGATTGGAATCATGCTGATATGAGATCATTTATTAATTCATGTCTCGTGGCGTCATCTCCCGGCAACCCATTTGCTGAAGAGGTGGTGAACAAACTGTCAAGCCACATGGGAATACCGAGGATAAGATTTATTTGTAACTCGTCGATAAACGTTGACGCGGGAGTCGGCAATAGATCGGTTTCCTTCCAGTCTGTGGTGTTACCTTTCATAGCACTGCTTGTTCGGAACAGCGTTCGAGAATCAACACTCGAAAAACAAGTGAATATAATCTATTCAACTGTATATACATACATGGACACCATTGTTCATGATCAAATATTGCGCTGCGTAGACGAGTTAATACGCAGAAAATCACTAAAAGATACATCTACTACAGAGCAGGATCTCCTCAGCGCGAATGCGTTCATACCTGTCAGTTATGCTCAGATACTTTTAGTGCTTGTGCGATTTGTCAACGAAATACTCGGCAGAATCAAAGAGGCTAGGGTGAACGTGACACTACAAAAGATTGGAGGAAGATTGGAACAGGCGACTATTGCGTGGAAAGATTTTTTGTCGGACGGTCTCATGTATGGAGATATCTTATCGCAGAGTGACGGTCTGGGGTCGTATTGTTTTACTGTGATAGACAAGGAGCTGGGTAAAATGAAAAAAATGTTGGATTCGGGAAGAAAAAGCCTAGAGAGGGGTGACGAAGTTACAAAGAAAATGTTCGAAAACGTTGGCTTGAATAAAGAAGCTATAACTGCAGCCATGCAGTTGGACTTGTGTCGATCGTACGATCCACCAGGTATAGTCATCGTCTCGTGTACTTTTTGATATAATGAGATATTCATCTTTTTTTTTTCTTTGGTATTCCTCAGGTGAACTTTCAAAGCATGGGAAGCGTCATGACAATGATGCGGTTAATTTCCAAGAAATACGAGTAGTTCCCACTGCAGACGAGATTCTCTGCAAACGCAACCCATTTCTTCCTTCGACTCTCCCCACCACTCCTCACTTTCTCGAACCCGGTCCAGACCGTCTGTTGGACACTCAATTCCGCCTCGTACGCGAAGACATGTTAAACCCATTGCGCATTGGTCTTCACGATTTTTTAGCCGGTCTAGACAAGGACAAATCGCAGATAGCGAAACTGTTAGAGAAGGGCGGAAGATTCAAATCAGATAAAGGAAACCGCAGCGGTGGAGACTTGAATGTCTATACGCATGTCAAGTTTAAGGATATTCAAGTGAATAGAAACAGAGGGTTTCTGATTCGAGTAGGATTTAAACAGCCCAAAGCTATCAAAACTAAAGATCAGAGAAAGTTTTATTGGGAAAGATCAAGAAAATTAATGCATGGGAGTTTAATTTGCGTGTTATGGGCTAATGACTATGAAGCGAACCAGGACGTTGCGGGTTCTAAGAGTGCCTTTTCGCTTTATTTCGGAGGTGAGTGTACATATCGTTGATTTTTATTTTTTTTTGCACAATAATTGGTGAGACTTACATGTTACCCTCGTACGTTAGTGATTGCCGAAAGAAATGAAAACATAATGTCAGAGAATGTAGATGAAGCGATAATAAGCGTCCACTTTATCGAAAGTTCGATATATCCAATCGTGTTAGAGGATATGGCACTTGCCCGCAGGCTATCGGAGACTGGACCTAAACACCCTGATCGGTTTATGGTAGAATCTACCGGAGTTTACTTTGAATCGTACGTTCACATATTGAAAGCGCTCCAGGATTCCAATCCGGGAGCACTCCCGTTTTCTCGACATCTTGCCCCGGCAAATGAAGAAGACCTATCCGCGGAACTCGAACCGCCATTGTATGCACGTGCGCCTGGTTTTAAGTTTGATCTGTCGGCATTGCTGGATAAGAAGGCACCTTTGACGTTAGAGCCCGTTAATGAGCTTTCACGACATTTGGCTGTGCAAACGCTAGTCCAATCAGGCAAGTTGGATGAAAGTCAGGCTGAAGCGCTAGTCTACTCATTGTGCAGAGAAATTGCCCTGATCGAAGGTATAGTAACAACTTATTAATATGCTGTTTTTCTTGATAGCGAGTCGGACTTGTCTCTAACCAATTTTACAATCCACAATACTGTAACGCAGGGCCACCCGGTACCGGAAAGGTTGGTTAATGTTCAATTCTATGAGTTTGCGTTTTAGATATCCCTAACGTTCTTATTTAATACCGATAGACGTACGTCGGAGTAGAATTGATGAAAGTCCTCTTGGATGAATCAAATCAGAAAGCTTCTTCCGTTGGTCCCGTGTTGACGATATGCAAGTATCAAAAACGGCGTTTTGCTCGTAATCCATATAATATCTCTTAATAACCGTTCTTGTTATCGTTACAGGCTTTACTAATCATGCACTGGATCAGTTCCTGGAAAATCTCTTGCACGTTGGGGTGAAAGATATCGTTCGATTGGGAAGTCGATCAAAGTCAGAAGCGATCAAAGAATTTGCTTTGGAAGAACGCTCTCGCAAACAAACAAAGTCCGCTGAGCATAGGTAATTGATTATGACTGCACATCAAATATGTGAACTACGTTATACCCTGCACCGCATATTTACGTCCACTGCATTCATTTGCGTTACATCTTTTCCATTAAGACGCATGTTGGGGGCTGCCTATAGTGAATTGGAGGCTCTATCGGAAGAAGCAAAAGGGTTGACTGATCGATTGGCTCGCAAGACAATGGAATGGAGCGTAAGTAGCCTTAGTCACACTGTTGACAACACCCCCAACGCGTATTAATCTAACACAAATTGATATGTCAAAAGGATGTAGAAACGTTGCTCATGATCGATTACAGTCCGGTTTATCAGCAACTGACGGAAGGCCCGATAGATTTTTCTTCAGAGTTTATCGAGTTGGAAGAAGAAGACTCGGATCCCAATAATGGATATGCAGTCGACTTTAATAAAACGCAAATAAATCAAGATGATAACGAAGGATGGGAGTATGTTGGTGGTGGGAAGGGCCGTGAGCCGGGATCGCTATTTGGCCAATGGGTCCACGGATCCGACATTAGACGCAAACAGCAAACCATCGAACGCCTGAGAAATATTGAAATGGAAAAGGAAAAACGCAAACAGAGAAAAGGGAAAAATAAACATACCGAGAACCCATTTGAGTTTTTGCAAGATCAAGACGAAGATATATCAATGGTTAACGAAGAAGAAATTAATCCTGAATCATCAAACAATCAATTTTGGTTGCAAACGTTACAAATACAAATACCAGAAACGGACAGACCATTGGATGTTTTGCTTGAGGAATGCAATTATGGTAGTAATGTGTGGGATATGAGCATTATTGAGCGAAGGAGATTACATGATCATTGGAGAAAACTGGTAAACGAAGAGATTACTGAAAAGTTAGCGGAAGTGGTTAAGCAACACACACAGAAACGGAAGGAAGTTGATGGTAAGTAGTTTACGCGTTCACAAACTACTCACCGACCACTCATCATTGCGCTTTCATACCGTGTTTAATCTTGGCTGTCTATGTCCCGATAACATCCAGATATTCACGATGGAGTTCGAAAGGAAATACTCAAATCCGCTCAAGTAATTGGGATGACTACAAATGGAGCGGCCAAATTCCAATCACTGATACGTTCGGTATCTCCGCGTATAATCGTATGCGAGGAAGCGGGCGAAGTATTGGAAGCTCACATTCTTGCACCGTTAAATGCGACACAACATCTCATTCTCATTGGTGATCACCTGCAACTTAGACCACACGTTGCGACATACAGTCTTAGTTTAGACTCTGACGTTGGCAAAAACTACGCGCTCGACAGGTCCCTATTTGAACGTTTGGTAAACGAGAAAAAGCCAATGGTGAAATTGTTAACTCAGAGACGGATGCGTGGCGAAATAGCCGATCTAGTAAGAGACACTCTGTACCCTGGTCTCATAGACCATGAAGTTACGACAAAGTACCCTCCTGTGCGCGGAACACCATATAATCTTTTCTTCTTTGATCATATGAATCCGGAAGATGCAGCTGGTAGTAACCAATTTGCGATGCAATCGCATTCAAATTCATTCGAAGTGAAGATGGTTGTCGAAATGGTAAAATATTTTGTTAGGAACGGCTATGATAAAGATGGTGATATTGCCGTGTTGACGCCCTATTTGGGACAAATGATCAAAATAAGAGATGCGCTGAATAAGCAATTTGTAGTCGTCATTGATGAAAGAGACAACGAGCAGATTGCCATGATGGCTGAAGAGGAAGAGTTGGTAGAAACTGACTCTACCGACGAAGCCTCAACATCGGCGGCTATACCCACAGCATTGAAAAAATCACTGACGAGGCAGGTTACGCTGCGTACCATTGACAACTATCAAGGAGAAGAAGCGACAATAGTCATCATATCACTTGTCCGAAATATATCCCAACATAGTAACAAAGCTACCATTGGTTTCTTGAAATCAACGAACCGTACCAACGTGCTGTTGTCTCGCGCTAAACATGGTATGTTTTTGCTGGGGAATGCCAACCTCCTTTTCGAGAAAGCGCAACGAGAAGGAAACAAAATGTGGCCAGGCGTAATTAATACGCTCAGAGAACGTTGCCAACTAGGCAGTGCGTTCCCATTGCAATGCGAAAGACATACTGATACGATTAATTTCGTCGAAAAACCCGAACAATTTTCCGAATTCGCACCAGACGGTGGATGCCAGGAACCATGCGGATTCACCTTGAAATGTGGTCACGTATGTCAATACAAATGTCACTATGACGACCCTGATCACATTGGCGTCATGTGTTATAAACCATGTCAGAGACTACACGATTCATGTCGACACGCATGCCAAAAAATTTGTGGAGAGCCATGTGGGAACTGTACTTTAACAATCAATAATGTCGAATTACCTTGTGGACATATTAAAAAGAAAGCTCCCTGTTATAAAGCATGTGATCCGACGTCGATTAAATGTGAGGAGCTCATTGATTGCGTTCTCCCCAGGTGTGGCCACGAACAAAAAAGACATTGTTTTGAAGCGATACAAGACGTTAAATGCAGTCAAAAATGCGGAATGCTGTTAAAATGTGGTCATCCTTGCTCTGCGAACTGTGAAGAGTGTCAACGCAGATCTATCCAAGCATCAGCTACAAAGCAAGCAGTATTGGATGCAAACGGTCATGTGACAAAGACAAACCATTCCCCATGCAATCAAGCGTGTGGACGCAATTTGTATTGTGAACACCGTTGTGCGAATAAATGTCATGATGGAAGGCCTTGTCAACCATGCAAAGAAAAGTGCATGATTAGATGTAGACATTCCACATGCAACAAAAAATGCTCTCAACCATGCAATGTCTGCGCTGAGCCGTGTGATTGGCAATGTAAACATCAAAGCAAATGTCCACTCAGTTGCGGAGCTCCTTGTATTCGACTGCCATGCAACCAACAATGTGAGAAATTCTTACCCTGCAATCACCGATGTCCTGGCGTATGTGGAGAAGAATGTGTTCCTGCCGAATTCTGTCCCGTCTGTGCTCCACCCGATATACGAAAGCAAACATCTAACGTGGCAATGTTGGAGGAATTTGGCGAAGTTGATTGGGGTATTAATCGAATGATTGTTTTAGAATGTAAGCATGCGTTTACTATGGCCTATCTCGACGAACAGTTGGAAATGAAGAGATATTATGACGGTATCGATGGTGAGGCGGACTTTGAAAAGATTTGGACCAAAGTTTGCACTCTTCCAAACGAATTGGGAAGCATTCATAGATGTCCACTATGTCGACGTCCGATTACTAACGTCAAGAGATACGGAAGACCTATCAAAAAGGCAATACTTGACATACAAAACAAGAAATTCTTGTCGAAATACAGGAACCTGTTAAACCAATATAACGAAAGAATTCAAATAAGTATCAGCACTTTAGAAACGAATCGAGAAAAATTTCTCGGCAATATCAAGAAACCCATTCTCAAGCCTAATGAAAGGCCAACTGGAGCTCGTAAAATTCCAGGAGACCTCGATATCAAAGAACTTTCCAATCTGAGTGAATTCACAAACCTTCGCAAGGGTTACGGGATACCACAAGATCACAATGATTGTTGGATCAAGTATACTAATATCTTGATTCAAATATATTCAAATCTTTCGCATCTGCTTGCTGAGACCAAGAACCCACCTTGGAAAACGGCATTCGAAGCAGCCGTAGCAAGTCTATATAGGTCGAAACTACTTGAAATGGATTACATCATTGCGACCATCAGGAATATGGGAATTGCAGAAAACGATGCTGATAGCACATTACTTGCTTTCCAACGCGAATCTCTTCACGGAGTAGGAATGGTGCTTCCAGTGGTAGATCGTCGATGTTATCTAGACATATTTTTAATTGTAATTAACGTTCAGAAAATATTATTCCAAGAAGTTGATTATATAATTCAAGCGTTATCCGATAATGACCAAGATGGCAGAAGTCTTGACACTAGACCTGGATGGATTAATTTCGCCTTATTTATTCTTCAATCGACCATGTCGCATCTCCAAACTATAATCAAAATAGCGCATGAAACAAAGTACTATAAGCAGTATGTGACCGCTACGCTTGAATTGGCAGAAGTGCAATGTCGACATTACCGATATAAATTCAAACACAGAAAAATAGCTGAAGATCCGAACGATGATATTGGAAAAGCAGAGAGAAAGAAGATAATTAACGAACTAAAAGAAATTCTTCAAAGATTTGAAACCCTCGTCCATGAAATCTTTCCTATTCTTCAAGCCGAACATTTTCAAAGACAATGCGAAACAAGAATGGAAAACACTATTGAAGAAATCAATGAGCTTACGAATTTAGCAAAAGGGGGAGTGTTGACGAAAACGGAGAAATTACAGATCTTCCAAGCGATGAGTGATGACTTGCGAGGGAGTGGGCACTGGTAGGCATAATGCAAGCTTTCATATTCTCGTTCTTTTCACGAAATGCAAGCGTTAGCTTATTCGAATCGATTACTCAATCTAGGTATACTTGTCCTAATGGACACACTTATACTATTGCCGACTGCGGAGGTGCAGTGGTAGAAAGCAGATGCCCAGATTGCAATGCAGTGATCGGTGGTGAGTATTAATATATTCTTTTGATTATAAAGATTCAAGTCACAAGTATAATTAATTACTTATTTACCACTGTTTCAGGTACCGGACACACGCTAGCGGTTAACAATCGCCGCAACGAAGAGTTTGAAAGTTTTGCCCATTGATGCTATTTATTGTATCTTGCGGGCTAACGTGATTCTATATTTATATGCATATGATTTGTCTTTTGCACCATAAATAGTGATGTGGGGATGCGTCAGCGAAACTAAAAAGTCGAGTAACATTTTGTATAAATATGGACATTTTTTGCGTACTAGTATAATTTAGTGTTTGCATTAATAAACTCGTTTTGCAACTCTCATTGTGCTAGCGGTTTTATTAGTTAACTGCAACTTTAGTCGATTAAAAAGGCGTACAATATGCACACGATCGCTAATTTTAGACAAGTTTGTTTATGTAAGCTGCCAGATACTTCCTCGTATCCCTCACATAGAGTTTTACAGTGGCCAACTCGGTACATTTTTGTTGCGTTCAACCACTAGAAACATTACGAATAGCGTAATACTCGTTTGACTTGACTCTATATATTGGTGATTTGCGAATTTATTACCAAACGTTGCATGGTTTTAATTAACGACATTTGTTTGACAAAAACTTTTTTCACGGAGAGAAATCAAAGATTTTTTATATAAAGATTAACGTAAATGGGTTTCACGGCCTCAAAGTACAACATATTAACATTTGGCGCGCTCACACAACATTAATAATTCATTTACCGTATTATTATCAAATTGCATGAAAACTTGTCGCAATTGCATACGCGCATACCGCGCACTAGAAATATTGCACCCTTTTGTTTCAAAGATATTGAAAAATTAAAAGGGTGTTATTATTTAGAGTGAGTGTCAATGTTTTCAATCACGTCTTTTGAACTTGGTCGGCGTAGATATATGTCAAAGCGGCATTCATCGGTTATGTTTTCATAGTAAGCTATTCGAACTGTCGCGCAAGGTTGTTTTTTTTCTTTGGCGAGCAGCCAGTTCTTGAACAATAAGTTTTTTGTCAAGATTTACTTATGCGCAAGGCAAAAAATTGCTAATTTATTATTCCGTTCATTACATCAAGTCATAAATACATTAAAACAAAACAATTCAGTTTTGTGTGTGCACACAGTGAAGATTTATCAGAATAGCCAATGATAATAATAAATTGAAAGCGATAAACTGGCAATAAACATTGTGTATAAAGAGACTCAATCGTAAGCAAATAAGCAAATACGCGTCGTAAATCTGCATGTATAAGCAATAAGATAAATTTCGATCGAATGTCCGACCTAAAGTATATTGACTATGCACAAAAGGTTCGGAGTATATTATTATTATCTTCAACAAAGTTACTAGTAAAAATGCAGATCTTCTGTAAACGGCTTTAATATTAAAATAATGTTAGTGGCTTCAAAATTCCGTGTACGACTTATAATAATGTTAACGAGACGTCAAATAAAAGTCATCGTTATTGATATGGTATGTATAATGACTACATATCCGCTTAAGTACGATGTAAACATTATGAGGTAACTTTGGTGATCTTGTCTTTATTATTACTTCGTCATCTGCAAATTGTGAATATTATTAAAGAGTTCAAGTACACGTGCACGCATGGAATTTGCTTATAACAAGTCGTACAGGACTTCTGGTCTGTTTGACTATCATTATCATCGTCATTGTGCGGGATAACTGACAAATGTAGCATAAGTTTACGATACTTTAGTAATCTGTCACACAAATACTTTCA